ACTTCGTCCCGGTAGCTGAATTTCTCGAAACCAGAGGAATCAGGTCATTCATGGCGTTCCGCGATGGGAGCACAGTGACCCGACGTGTTGGGAAGCATCAATGTTGCGACCTGCGCGAGGGCTTCTCTTTGCGAGGCAGACCGGAACGAATAGAGATCGCGCAAACCGCGTGTCGGCTCTCCAACGCAATTCCCTATTGCGTGGTGCGGGCTGTGGCAAAAGGACATTTTGGCTTTGCGCTAACGCCCGTTTCCTCTATCTTGACTTCAGGGGAACGCGGCATTACCTTCGAAACAGGTGCCCACATGGTCATTTACGATCTCACTTGTGACAACAGCCACGGTTTCGAGGGGTGGTTCTCGGGACCGGATAATTTCCAGGAGCAACACTCCCAGAACCAGATCGCTTGCCCGGTGTGCGGCTCCACTGCCATCACCAAGCTCCCCCATACCTGTGCGGTGCACATGAAGAGAGAGGAGGCGCCGGCACCCGCCGCGCGCCGGTCGGAGCCGGCCACGCCCACGCCGGAGCAGTTCAAGGAAGCGCTGATCCAGGTCCATCACTACATCCGGAACAACTTCGAGGATGTCGGCGCCCACTTCGCCCAGGAGGCCCGCCGGATACACGAGGGCGAAACCGACGAGCGCCCCATCCACGGGACCGCGACCGCGGAGGAGCGGGAAGCGCTCGACGACGACAGTATTCCCCACATGATGCTGCCGAAGCCGGAGCTCGATAGCTGAGATTCTCCGCCCGCTTTCGAGCTTCGAGACCTACGGGTTCTAGACTATAGGCATCGAGGCAGCCGTTCATCTTCCCGCTCTGCAAAGCCCCCTAAACACACGACGAAATCCCGGCCGACCTGTTAGTTTATCCAGATTGGGTGGTCTATGCTCTGCCGGTTGTTGAGTGAGGCCGGCATAGACCGCGATGGAGGGCACTTACGGAGATGTTTGACATCTCCAGGGACCAACTGCGCCAGTTGAAGGCCGACACTTTACGGGAACTTGTAGCCCGTTTGTGTGAAGCTGAGTTGCGTCAGGCCGGCATACCGATGAGCGCCGTCAACTGGGGCGGGGCTCAGGAGACTCGTGATGGAGGCCTTGATGTCGATTGCGTGGTGACAGACGAGCGGTTCTCCGGCGATTTCGTGCCACGCGCTCGCACTGGGTTCCAGGTAAAAAAGTCCATCATGCCTCCTTCAAGATCGCGAACGAAATGGTCGCCGAAGGGCACGGGTCCGGGAAATATTTTATGAACTCAGCAAAGATGGCGGCTGCTACAACATCATCGTCCTGCCCCTTGAGGACGATCCCAGCAGCTAACGCAAACACATCCCCGCCCTCGGCACTGACGTGATGCAAACGCACAGTCGAGCCAACCAGGAGCCACGGCATGCTACGAACTGAATCTCACGGGCGCGCAGAGCTTGCGCAGTGGCTCGATCAGCATCCTGGCGTTCGTCTTTGGGTTCGCGACAGGCTTGATCTCCCACTGACTGGTTGGATGCCTCTCAAGCGGTGGACAACGACACCGCTAGATCACGATGACGATCTGAGCTGTGCACCCGGTGTCGGATTTTTCTTCAGCAGAGAACAAATCAATCTGACCTGCGTTCCAGGAAATCGATGGATACGGACCTTGTGAGAACCTCGGGAAGGCGGTGCGCATTGTCGGTCTGATCCGGGGTTGGCAAAAACTCGTATCGTCCAGGCCTTGTTCGAGGAATCCGTTGGGATATCCCAGGGGAATAATCCCTCGACAAAGCAAATTCGTGTGACTGTACGCAGTATCTCAGCGAGAGCCGACTCCAAGCGCGCGCGAGTATCGCGCGTCCTGAAGCGAAGACCGTGACGCATCGGGATCTGGACAACTGTCCCGTCTGTAACAGCACACATGGCCCTGTGCTGGGCTTGTCTCGTCGTCTTCTGCAAGTGCATCTCACCTACCGCGTAGGTCGAGTACGACATCCAGACAAGACAAAGCCCGAGGTTACACAGCGTGTGTCCGATCGTGCGGATGGTACTGAAATATGCGAAAAAGCTGGTCGCGCGCCGGCATCCCTCAGCCGCTTGTGCAAGTGAATGTGAGACGCATTTGCCGCGTTTCTCCGTGTGGAAACGCCTGGCTTTGCTCTCGCGCTGGCAGATTCCGTGACTGAAGAGACAGCCTTTCCTGCTTTCCTCGAGGCCGAACTCTCTTGACAGGTTGTTCTATAGAGGCGGGGCGTACCCCGAACACGGATTTCCTGAAGCTACTGACGCCTGTCCCTCGTCTACTCGTATTCCATCCACAGATTGAAGATGGCGTCGATGACTGGCCGTACTTGCTGATTATCTGAGCACGACCGATTGAAATTCTACCGAGTTACGCAAAGGCTCGTTGAAGGCCAGCTAGCGCAGAAACGAGGGCGTTGGCGTGCGGTTCTGCCACACGCACTGTCCAACCACCTCGCGTCAAGAGCACTCCGGAACATGCCGACTCAGGATATCCTGGACGCATTTCAGCCACACACGCGCTTGCTGAAGTCATTCGGGAAACGTCTTGGATTTCTTCATGATCATGAAGTTGCCCAGGAGATTGTCAGATCATGGTTGTCGCCGGGTGGCCTGCTTGATGACGTTGGTCAGCTTAATGAAGACGGTATCCAGCTACTCTTGAATGTAGCCCCAGTTGCCCCAGACGCCGTCTTGAATGCCATCGAGGTGCATGCTGCGCGGCCAGAGGCTGATCATCTCTTCATTACGGGGAATCTGCGCGCGTCAACGATCGTGGATCTCTTGTGTGCGATCGCCTACGATCCGGTCCTTTTTGAAAGGTGCGTGTCCGTTTTGGCGAGATTTGTGCCGATGGAGAATGAAGGAAAGGCGCCCGGCCAATACCAGAGCCGTCTCTACGGTTTGTTCGCGCTGCATCTTTCAGGCACCGAGGCCGGTCCTGACGCGCGTGAGGCGGTTGCCCGGCGGTATCTTTTTGGCGACAACGACAAAGAACGCCAACTCGGCTTGGGGATGGTCAAGGCGGCTTTGCAGAGCAGACATTGGTTCTCCCTCGGGACTTTCGAATTCGGTGCTCGACGAAGATCCTACGGTTACCGACCGCGAAGCTACGAGGAACAGACCGCGTGGTACCGTCGGTTTGTTACGCTGTGCGCCGATGTGTCCGCCAGACATCGTGATTCTGCACCTCTCGGATGGCGCGCGTGGTCTCCTGGCGAATGAGTTGCGGGCGCTTTGGCGGATTCGGGGCTTGCGTGAAGTGCTGGGCGGGCTTTGGCCAAGGACATGAATGACCGACAGCCGTGGTTGGACGGCTGGCGTGCTGTGAGGTCAATCAAGCACTACGACTATCGCAAGGTCGCGGGCGAAGGAGTCTGACGTGCGTGAGTTGCTGGAAGAGAGGAAGTGCTGGACAATGGACGAACTCGATCAAATGGCTCAAGTGCCAAACGTTGGCTGATGAAGTCTGAACTAGTCTTTACGGCCGACCTCCAACGTTGCATGGATGATGAGTTCAATTTCGACAGCGATCACATCGATGGTCAGGACATCCAGAAGATCGTGCGGCTGCAGTAGCTCTGTGATCTAGGCATGTTGTGCCGACGAGCCGGTCGTCATGGACGAGGCTTCTCACTGGACTTCTTCATCAACTGGAACGTTTTCTTCTTACGATTTCGGAGAGAGCTGTGCGTCGAAATGTAAGGGGAGGACCTCCGAGCCCTGTTGGGACATTCTTGTCGCTCTTTCGGACTTGCGGGAGACCGGTGGCGCCAGTGCGGTATTTTAGGCGTGTCCTCGCTGGGGTACATGAGCGTGACGGATCGTTGGCGCGAGAATTCCTTGACCAGGCGGTGGGGAATCGCCTTCTGAGGAGAGCCATTGTGAGCCTTCAAACATCAGTACCACTGGATGCCGGAAGCGTCGAACGCATGGGGCGAGCCCTCGAATTCGAAGACACACCACTATGGCAATTCGGAGATCTGGCTTGGCATCGCCCCCTGGACGCGTGGAGCGAAACGGATGTTCGGGATGTGCTGATGAAGATGGTGGACCGGCCTAGTGGCGCTGAAACGGTTCTCAATGGCTTGACCATGCGGATACTTGTGTTGAAGGAAGAGAACCGTATGCTAGGTCCTGAGCTAAAGAAAGTGGGGTTGTCTGCTTCCGCCGCAGTGCTGAGAAACGAGTTGGATTTCGATGGTAGTGGCATAACCGAACATAATCTGTCGGAAGTCTGGAAGTCCTGCATGGATGAGGACGAGTTTCCTGAAGAGACCAACGCAGTACGTGATGCGTACTTTGTCAGGTTGAAGAAATCGCACGGTTTCGTGGATGACATCGAGAAGGCCGTAGCCGTTTTGGCTGAAAGGGCCACGGTTCGCTTTCTCGACGGCGTCTTTTTTGATCCGACCCTTCAAGACTACCATCGCCAAGCGATTTTCAAAGAGCAGCGGGAGGGGAGAAACGCGCTTTCCAACATTCACGCCGCGAAACTGCTGGACTGGTGTGAAAGAGGCAATTTTCAGAGGCGACTGCTCTTGATCTCGGGAGCGGTATTCCCGTTTGAAGAAGAGGCAGAAGGCAGTGGCGTGGTCTTTTCAAACCAAGCGCTTGCCGTCTATGAACACAATACCCGTTCACGGTTTCTGGAAACTTCGCCTCTTACGTTGGGCCGAATATTTGCTGGGGCAGTGGGGCAGATGTCATCGCCAAGCGAAGCCGGCCTTTCGAGGCACTGTTGGAGCATGACCGACCGGAGATTCGTCGTGCGGCTCAAGAGCAGGTGGTACGGATCAAGGAATGGGAAGCGCAGGAACGGGCGTTGGATCGAGCGCTCGACAAACACAACGAGCAGCGTTTCGAGTAATGAACGTGTCGATCTGTATTTCGCTTGGTGACGAGCTGTCCATTCGGCCTGCGGTATCCTTTGATGGCTGCCGGGTCGATCAGCTTGGCTCCGGTAATTGACAACACGTTACCCGGTCTGTTACCCCGTGCACCATGGACGCGCGCGAGATCCGGCATGTCATGGGACACTTCGCCACCGGAGTGACCATCATCACGACCAAGGACAAGGCGGGAGTCCCCACCGGGATCACCGCCAATGCCTTTTCCTCCCTTTCCCTGGATCCGCCGCTGGTGCTGGTCTGCATCGACAAGAAGGCCAACTGCTACGACTGCTTCGAGGATTCCGGTTTGTTTGCCGTCAACCTGCTGGGCGAGCACCAGGAGCACATCGCCAACCGTTTCGCCACCAAGGGTATCGAGAAGTTCCAGGACATCGCGTGGCATATGAGCGGCAACGATATTCCGCTGTTGGATGAGACCATCGGATACATCGAGTGCACGGTCGGCCCAGGCTACGACGGCGGCGATCACACCATCTATCTCGGTCAGGTCATCCACGCGCAAGCGGCGGGCGAACGGCCGCTGCTCTTCTTCAAGGGCAAGTATCAGCGACTCCGGAAGCGGACTAGGTCAGCTTGGGGTGCCCGTGGGCGCATGCGATGGGCACGGGCGGGTTTGAAACCCGCCCCTACACCTCCCTGCGCGGGCACGAGCAGGGTTGAAACCTGCCCCTAAGCCTCGTCGCCGGTTCCGGCATTGGTACGTGAATGAACCGAATGGGACTTTATTTGAGCTCGATGGTCACGTCCCGGGCGCCGGGCGTTACGGGATTCCCCTCGTAGACTCCCGCCGGTTCTCCGGGCTCGCGCGTCAAGGGGTCTCCGTCCCGGTCCAGCCGCGCGCTGAGATCCAGCGGCCCTTCAAAGGCCATTCCCGGCATCATGACGTCGCCGGCACCCAGGGAGAAGGAGATCGGAAAGGTGGGTCCGACGATCCGCTTGACCGCCAGCGGAGGCCCGCCTCCGGCCCCGGCCGCTCTGGCGACGATGTAGAGGGTGGAGCGTCCGCCGGCATCGGTGGTCCGCCCGGGCTCCAACTGCACGGTGCCCTCGATCATCGGCCCCGCCGGCGCCGCTGGCCGTTCCTTCGGCGGTTGACCGATCTGTGCGATGATCTTCCGCACGGCGTCCCGTTGCTCTCCCGCGGGCAGCAGCTTTTCCAGGCGTTGGAGGTGCTCCCGGGCTCCTTCCGGGTCGCGCCGCTCCTGGTGGAGGATCATACCCTTGGCCCACAGTGCCAGGGGCAGGTTCGGGGTCCGCGACAACGCGCGGTCCAATGCGGTCAGGGCGGCGTCCGTGTGGCCGGCCTGGGCCAGGACCATTCCCATGTACGCGTTGGCCATGGGATGCCCGGGGTCGTGGCTCAACACGGTCCGGAAGGCCTCGATGGCGTTCTTGAAGTCCTTCCGCTGGAACGCTTCCTGTCCCCGGCGCAGGGCCGCCGCGGGTCCCTCCGAAGCCGGTGGCCGGCTGATGCCGTCCGGGCCGGTGCCGGTGAGAAAGTCGCCGGTGATGCTGTCCTCCGTCGAAGTGCGGGGCCGGAGCGACTGGCCCAGCAGCAGGCCCAGGGTGATGCCGCCCACCAGCAGGACGGCGGCCCCGGTGGCCAGGGCCCAGGTTCGTCTGTTTCCCTTGGAAGGGGTGGGCTGTGTCATCTCGGGCTCCGGCAGCGGCGCGGCGCTTTCACCGATCTCCTGGAGCCTGCGCGCGGCCTGACGTTCGTAGCGTTGTTTGAGGACCTCGTAGTCGGCCGGGGACAACTTGCCGGCCTGATGATCGAATTCAAGCTCCCGGAGGTCCTGGTAGATGCGGGCCTGGTCGTCGTCCGGCAGTTCCGGGAGGCGCCCCTGCCCGAAGTCGCCGCCGACGGCCTCGGCGCGGACCCGCTCCAGCAGCTCCGGGTCCACGGGTTCCTCCGGCTCGTCCCTGGTGCGGCGGCTCCATCGGCGGAGAAACCATGCCGCCAGGCCGAGCCCGGCGAGAAGGACGGCGAAAGGCAGGATCCATACGGTCAGATTGAAACCCTGTGCCGTCGGCGCCAGCAGGACCCACTCGCCGTACTTGGAGACGAAATAGGCCCGGATCTCATCGGGTGTCTTGCCGGCCTTGAGCTGCTCGCGCACGATGCCGCGCATCTGCACCGCCATCTCGGACGGCGAGTCGGCCACGGACAGGTTCTGACACACCACGCAACGAAGGCCCGAGGCCATGGTGCGCACCTGATCCTCCAGCGCCTGATCCGCGTGTACATTGAAGCAAAGGGTGAGAATCAGTGCCCAAACCGTCCCATTAAGCATGAGGAAATGCCGACCCGGACCGTCCTTCGACTTCGCTCCGCTACGCTCAGGACGAACGTGTGCCGATCCCAGCCTCCCGTTCGTCCCGTCCTTCGACTTCGCTCCGCTACGCTCAGGACGAACGTGTGCCGATCCCAGCCTCCCGTTCGTCCCGTCCTTCGACTTCGCTCCGCTATGCTCAGGACGAACGTGTGCCGATCCCACCTCCCTTCGTCCCGTCCTTCGACTTCGCTCCGCTATGCTCAGGACGAACGTGTGCCGATCCCACCTCCCGTTCGTCCTGAGCGTAGCGGAGCGCCAGCGGAGCGAAGTCGAAGGACGCCGTTTCGGGTGGCGGTCAACCGTCGGTCTTGTTCCGATTCTCATCGTATGGCCTGGTGTTCGCCGCGTCCGGCCCCGGTGCTGACGAGGTCGCGCCGGGCCTCCTGCAGCTTGGCCGCCAGCACCGACGGCGGAACGGCGCCGACGTGCTTGTACGTGATCCTTCCGGCCGGGCTGATAAAGAAGGCTTCCGGGAATGCCCCAGACGCCGTAGTCCACCGAGATCTTCCCCTCCGGGGTCCCGGCCGTTGGCGAAGGTAATGCCGAAGTCCTCGATGAACTTCAGCGCATCGGGCTCCTTATCCTGGATGTTGATTCCCAGGAAGATCACGTTGCCTCCCTGCTGCTTCCAGGCCGCTTCCAGATCCCTGGCCTCTGCCCGGCAGGGCAGGCACCAGGAGGCCCAGAAATCCAGCAGGACGGTCTTGCCGCGAAGCTCGGACAGGCGCACGGTCTCACCGTTGAACAGTTCCATGGAGAAGTCGGGGGCGGCGCGGCCCACCAGTGGCGAGGGGATGTAGCGCGGGTCCTGGTAGAATCCGTAACCCAGCAGGATCAGCAGCAGCCCCACCGCCATGAGGGTGAACAGCACTCTTCGCGCCGCGGGGCTCAAGCTTCCGTCCGTGCGGCGCGCCCCAGGGGCAGGATGGTCATGAGCGTGCCGAGGGTGATGACGAACCCACCCAGCCAGATCCACAGCACCAGCGGCCGGATCAGTACCTTGAGGGTGGCCTGATTCCGTCCCACGTCGCTGAATCCCGAAAGGATCAGGTAGAGGTCTTCCTTGAGGGTGCTGCGGAAAACCGCTCGCCCGATGGGCGAGTCCTGGGCCGGGAAGAATTTCAATGTAGGCGACAGGCGTCCCAGTGCATGGCCGTTCTGTGAAACCTGAAACGTGCCTTCCATCCGGTAGTGGGTGGGTTGCTGGGAGCCCCGCAATCCCTCGAAGGCCACCCGGTAGGATCCGGCCGTCAGGGTCTCGCCGACGTTCAGGGTCGCTTCCCGCTCGATGCTGTAGGCCATGGACCCGGCGATGCCCAGCACGATCAGGACCACCCCCAGATGCACCACGAAGCCGCCGTAGCGGCGCTGGTTGCGTTGGATCAGGGTGCCGAGCCCGCGCAACGGCCCCTCGCCGGCCTGCCGCCGGCGGGCGCGTAGGGAGAGGAAGGTGTCGAAGACCATGGTCCAGACCGCGAAGGCGCAGAGGGTGAACCCCAGGAGCAAGAAAAAAGAGCGGATGCCGCCGGCGAAAAGGCCCACGGCGACGGCCAGGGACGCGGCCGTGGGCCAGGTGAAGTTTCGCTTGAGGTTGTCCCATGAAGCCCGGCGCCAGGCAATGAGCGGGCCCACTCCCATGAGGAAGACCAGGAGCAGGAACAGCGGCGCCATCACGCTGTTGAAGTACGGGGCGCCGACGCTCACCTGAACCCCGACCACGGCCTGGGACAGCAGCGGAAAGACGGTGCCGAGGAAGATGGCGAACAGCGCGGACACGAACACGACGTTGTTCAGCACGAACGCCGATTCGCGGCTCACCACGGAGTCGAGTTCCGGCTGCCCGCGCAGTTGATCACTGCGCCAGGCCAGCAGGGCCCAGCGATGAGATCAGGACGAACGCGAGGAATCCCAGGAAGTAGAATCCCACGGGTCCGGCCGAGAAGGCGTGGATGGACGACAGAATCCCCGACCGCGTGAGAAATGTGCCGAAGATGGTGAGGCTGAAGGCGATGATGATCAACAGCACATTCCAGGTCTTGAGCATGCCGCGCCGTTCCTGGACCTGCACCGAGTGCAGGAACGCGGTGGCCGGCAGCCAGGGCATGAAGGCGGCGTTCTCCACCGGGTCCCAGGCCCAGTAACCGCCCCAGCCGAGGACGTGGTAGGACCACCACGCGCCGACGATGTTGCCGAGGGTCAGAAAGAACCAGGCGGTGATGGTCCAGTGCCGGGTCGCGACGATCCAGCTCTGGTCGAGCTTGCCGCGAATGAGCGCCGCCATGGCGAAGGCGAACGGCACCGTGAGTCCCACGAACCCCGTGTACAGGAGCGGCGGGTGGCTCAGCATGTTGGCATCTTCCAACAGCGGGTTGAGCCCCCGGCCGTCGAGAGGCACGGGGAACATCGTCTCGAAGGGATTCGAGGCAAAGGCGATGACCGCCAGGAAGAAGGCCGAAACGATGGCGAACACCATCAGCACCCAGGGCATGAATTCCTGCATGCGCTTGCGGTAGCGCCACGCCACCAGGGCCGAGAAGATGATGAGGATCCACTCCCAGAGCAGCAGCGACCCTTCGAGGGCGCCCCAGAGTCCGGTGACGCGGTAGTAGACCGGGGTGTTGAGGGTGGTGTTGAGGGCGACGTAGCGGATGGAGAAATCGGTCGCCACCAGGGCGTAGATCAGCGCCCCCGCGGCCGTGGTCACGAGCACGAACTGGCCGGCGATGGCGTAGCGGGCGGAGGCGTGGAAAGCCTGAATGCCGGTGCGCGCGTGCAGGATGGGGGCCGCGATCCCCCAGATCGCCAGCACCAGCGCCAGCAGAATGCAGCTATATCCCAGGGTTGCGGTCATTGGTGTCCTGTCCGGTCAATTCGCACGATAATCTGCTGGTCTTTTTCGCCGTCGGCTGCGTTGCTCTTCCTCGCGTGGTACCCGCCCTGGGCGGGTTTGAAACCCGCCCCTACAAGTCATCGCGCCTTGCCGACGACGACAAATCCTGCGCATCTTATCATGCGAATTGACCGGACAGGACACTAGCCGCCCGTGGGCCGCGCGGGCACGAAGCTCCGTTGCTCTGCGGGGTCTTCGCCGTCCCGGTGCGGGCTGTACTCCTCGGCATGCTTGGCCATGACCGTGGAGGCCATGAACACGCCGTCCCCACCCAGCCGGCCCTCCACCACGGCGCCCTTGCCCTCGGAGAAGAGGTCCGGCGGCACGCCCTGGAAGTGCACCGCGATGGACTGTTGGCCGTCGGTAATCCTGAAACGAAACGTGCGCCGGCCGAGGTCCTTTTGCAGGGACCCGGGCAGGACCATGCCGCCGATCCGGAGGAACCGGTCGGGCGGCGTGGTCTCGGACCGGAGCTCGGTGGGCGTGACGAAGTACACCACGGCTTCCTGCATGGCGCCGTAGATGAGGTAGGTCAGGCCCCCCACGATGATCAGGCCGCCGATGAGATATCTAGGCTTCATGTCCGCTCGCCTCGGTTGGAGCCGGGGGCCTCTGGATGGCCGCCGCGGCCCTTTGGGTGCGCCGTTTCAGAAGCACGGTATAGACGACGATGCTGCACCAGACGATGCCGTACGCCAGAAGAACGAAACCCCAGTGTCCCATGGATATATGTCCCCGCAAAACCGCCGGTCACGGCGCATCGTAGAGCCTGCTTTGACGCGCCTGGTCCTCCACCTCTCCCAGGTGTATGCGCAGTGACAGCAGATAGAAGAACAGCAGTAGAAACGCCAGAAAATTGATCCCCAGGGGCCACAGCATGGCGGGATCGATATTGTCCCACGGTGCCTTGTCCGGCCGCAGGATGGAAGGGGGTTGATGCAGCGTGCGCCACCAGTACACCGACATGTGTATCAACGGGATGTCCAGGAAGCCGATGATCCCGAGAATCGCTCCGGACACGGCCGCCCGCCGCTGATCGTCGATAAGGGACCGCAGCAGCAGGTAGCCGGTGAAGATGAACAACAGGATGGCGGTGAGGGTAAGGCGGGCATCCCAGGTCCACCACACCCCCCAGGTGGGCTTGCCCCATATGGACCCCTCCACGATGGTCAGGGCGGTAAAGAGCACGCCGATCTCCGCGGCCGAGTGGGCGAGGATGTCGTCCCGGCGTTCGCCCTTCCACAGGTAGAGACAGCTTGCCACGAACACGATGAAGAACGACAGGTACGCCACCAGGATGCTGGGGATGTGGAGGTACATGATGCGCTGGGTCTCGCCCTGGCGGGCATCCGGCGGCGCCTCCACCAGGCCCCAATACAGACCCGTGACGATAAGGATGAGCGCCAGCGTGCCGAGAATTCGTCGTGCCATGGAGTCCTTGTTCACGTCCCCCGGGTGGGAGTCCCGAGGCAGACTCCCGCACGTCGCGGAAGTCACGGTGAGTCATGCGCCAATGATAGCATTGGCGGGTGGCAGTTCCCAAACAATCCCGCGCATCTTCATGATCTCCGGGCAGATCGAGCGCATTAAACCCCTCTCCCTCTGGGAGAGGGTGGCCTCGTTCCGTCCCAAATCCAACCCCTCTCCCCCTGGGAGAGGGTGGCCTCGTTCCGTCCCAAATCCAACCCCTCTCCCCTGGGAGAGGGTGGCCGAAGGCCGGGTGAGGGTCCGAAGGCCGGGTGAGGGCGCCCCAACTACCCTGCCTGCCTCATTCCGTGCCGTACCCGGTGGGGCAGTTGATTTGGGAAACCCTCACCCCGGCCCTCTCCCGGAGGGAGAGGGGGTCGGAGGGCGGGCAAATCGACCCTCGTCACAATTGTTGTGATTTCAAAAAGGGCGGCGTCAACCGTCAAGGACCCACTCCAGCAGCAGGAAGCCGGCGGTGATGAAGATCAGGTCGAAACCCACCAGCAGACGGAACCAGGGGACGAGGTCCTGGGCGGTGCCCGCGCCCAGAATGATCTCCAGCGTGCGGACGGTGCCCAGGATCACCGGGATCATCAGGGGAAAGAGCAGCACGGGAAGCAGCAGGGCGCGCGCCCGGGCCCGCAACGTCACCTGCGGCGAAGAGGACGCCCACCACGCAGAAGCCCAGGGTGCCCAGCAGGGTGTAGAGGAACACGCTGGGCAACAGGTGCCAGAAGTCCAGGCGGAACAGGATGCCGAAGAGCGGCAGGATGAAGACTTCCAGCAGCAACATCAACGAGAAGTTGAAGAGGACCTTGGCGAGGTAGTACGCGCCCCGGTCCATGGGCGCCAGCAGGAGCGCATCCAGGCAGTCGTTCTCACGGTCGCCCTGGAAGAGCTGGCCGAGGGCCAGGTTGCCGCTGAACATGAAGGCCAGCCACAACAGCCCGGGAGCCATGCGGGAGACGTTTGTCGGTGGAGATCTCGAAGGCGAACGAGAAGAGAAACAACAAGGAGAGGCCGAAGAAGAACATCGACAACAGGTTGTCGCGGCGGCGCGCCTCCAGCAGGAGATCCTTCCAGAGGAGCCAGTAGAGCTGTCTCAAGGCGTCGGTCAACGTGTGCCGCCCATGTCCCGGGAAGAAAGGAGGGTGTCGAAGGCGGTGTGGAAGCTGTCCCAGGGATCCTGCCTGGGCTCGTCGAAGACGATGCGGCCCCGGTTCAGGATCACGGCCCTGGAGCATCGTTCGAGGACGCGGGGGACATCATGGGTAGCCAGCACCACGATGCCGCCGCCGGCGCAGAGCGAGTCCAGGAACCGGTTCAGCATCTCCACGCCCGAGGGGTCCAGCGCGCCGTAGGGTTCGTCCACCAACAGCAGCCTGGGGTTCACCAGCCGCCACTTGGCGATGGCCAGGCGGCAGCGCATGCCCAGGGACAGGGTCGAGACGTATTCACCGGTCTTCTCGTACAGCCCCACCTCGTTCAGGGCCTCCGCCCGCTCCTCCGCGGTAACATCCTTGCGGTACAGGGAGACGAAGAACCGAAGGTTCTCGTTGACCGTCAGGTTGTCGTAGAGGTGGGCGCCCGAGGCGAGAAACCCGATCATGCCCCGAAGCGGGGAATTGCCGTAGGAGAGCGGGCGCCCGAACAGCTCGATGGCGCCGGCAGTGGGGTAGGCCAAGGCGGCAAGAAGCCTCAAGAGCGTGGTCTTGCCGGCTCCGTTGGGTCCCAGCAACGCCACCCATTCGCCGGCGGCGAGTTCCAGCCGCACCTCCCTCAGGGCCCACAAGAGCCCGTAAACCTTCGACACCCTGTCCATCCGCACGCTCAAAAAGACCCTCCGGACAAACGCCAGACCACAACGAGATGCTCCGGACGAGAACGCGGCTCCGCGGTTCCGCCAGGCGATTCAAGTCCGCCAATATAGCGGGTTCGCTGGGAAATGGCATGCACGCCGCGCGCGGGACGCTTCGGAGGCGGGGCCGGTCGCTCGCTTGACTCGCCACCGGAGATTCGTTAATGACTATTTTGTCAAACCCACACTCATAGCCTGGACCGGGCGGTCATGCTGCTGAAGCTCATGTCCGGATTCAGGATCTCCGAGACCGGTTACCAGCCCTCGGGCTAATTTCACAGATCAGAGGAGAGTCATGGCAAGCTATCTACACGTCAATGTGCCGGCCGAAGGCGCAAAGGTTACTCTTTCCGACGGCGAGCTGCAGGTTCCGGACAACCCCATCATCCCGTTCATTGAAGGTGACGGGACCGGGGTGGACATCTGGGCTGCTTCGGTGCGGGTGCTGGACGGCGCCGTCGCCAAGGCGTACGGCGGCAAGAAGAAGATCGCCTGGACGGAGGTCTATGCGGGGGAGAAGGCCCAGGCGGTCTACGGCGACGATTGTCCTGCCAGCCTGCTGCCGCAGGAGACGGTGGATGTCATCCGGGAGTACCTGGTGGCCATCAAGGGCCCGTTGACCACGCCCGTGGGCGAGGGCTTTGCAGCCTCAACGTAACCCTGCGCCAGGTGCTGGACCTCTACGTGTGTCTCCGCCCGGTGCGCTATTTCAAGGGAGTGCCGTCGCCCGTGCTGCGGCCTCATCTGATCGATATGGTGATCTTCCGTGAAAATACGGAAGACATCTATGCCGGCATCGAATGGGAAACGGGCACGCCCGAGGCGGAGAAGGTCGTCAAGTTTCTGCGGGAGGAGATGGGGGTCAAGAGCATCCGCTTCCCCGACACCGCCAGCATCGGCATCAAACCGGTCTCCATCGAAGGCTCGGAACGCCTGATCCGGGCGGCCATCCGTTACGCGGTGGAGCACAACCGGCGCAACATCACACTGGTGCACAAGGGCAACATCCAGAAGTACACCGAGGGCGCATTCATGCGCTGGGGCTACGCGCTGGCGAAGCGGGAGTTCGGCGACAAAGTGGTGTCATGGGAGGAGTGCAACGGAAACCCGGAGCCCGGGATGATTCTTATCAAGGACGCCATCACGGACGCCTTTCTACAGCAGATCGTCACACGGCCCGACGAATTCGACGTGATCCCCACCATGAACCTCACCGGCGACCTCATCTCGGACGCGCTGGCGGCCCAGGTGGGCGGCATCGGCATCGCGCCGGGCGGTAACATCAACTACGACACCGGCCACGCCCTGTTCGAGGCCACCCACGGAACCGCGCCCAAGTACGCCGGCCAGGACAAGGTCAATCCGGGCTCGGTGATCCTTTCCGGTGAGATGATGCTGCGCCACCTCGGCTGGGACGAGGCCGCGGAACTCGTGATCCAGGGTCTCGAGGAAACCATTGCGCAGAAGACCGTAACCTACGATTTCGAGCGGCTCATGACCGGCGCCAAGCTGCTCAAGTGCTCGGAATTCGGCGAAGCCATCGTGGCGAACATGTAACTGCGGGGGATCATGGCCATTTCCAGACGCAAGATCGCACTGATAGGGGGCGGCAACATCGGCGGCACCATGGCGCACCTGTGCGCCCTGAAGAAGCTGGGAGACGTGGTCCTCTTCGACGTTATCGACGGACTGCCGCAGGGCAAGGCCCTGGATCTGCTCCAGTCCGCGCCCGTGGAGGGATTTGACGCCAATATCGTCGGCACCACCAGCTACGAGGACATCGTCGGCGCCGACGTCTGCATCGTCACCGCGGGCATCGCCCGCAAGCCGGGCATGAGCCGGGACGACCTTCTGGGCACCAACTCGAAGATCATGACCTCGGTGTCGGAGGGGATCAAGCAATACGCCCCCAACGCCTTCATCATCGTCATCACCAATCCGCTGGACGCCATGGTGACCCTTTGCCAGCGTGTGACCGGTTTCCCCAAGGAACAGGTGGTCGGGCAGTCGGGTATCCTGGACTCGTCGCGCTACCGGACGTTCATCGCCCAGGAGCTGAACCGCTCGGTGGAGAGCGTCACCGCCATGGTGCTGGGCGGCCACGGCGACGACTATGGTGCCGGTGCGGAGCACCTGCCAGGTGGGGGGCGTGCCGGTGGACCGTCTCATTTCGTCGGAGCGGCTGGACGAGATCGAGCAGCGCGTGCGCATGGCCGGCGGCGAGATCGTCTCGCTGCTGAAGACCGGCTCCGCCTTCTACGCGCCGGCGTCGGCCGCGGTGCGCATGGCCGAGGCCTACCTGCAGGACAAGAAGGAAGTGCTCCCGTGCGCGGCTCTGCTCGAAGGGGAGTACGGCGTCCATGGCTACTACTTCTGCGTGCCGGTCCTGATCGGCGCCGGCGGGGTGGAGAAGGTCATCGAGATCGACCTGGCTCCCGGGGAGAAGAGCGCGTTCGACGAGTCCCTGTCCCATGTCCAGGATATCGTGGGCGCCATGGACCGGGTGTTGGCGGAAGCGTAGGGGAATGTTTGACCGACCTCGAGAATGGATTTCGTCCTTCGCCTCGCTACGCTCACTACGCTCAGGACGAACGGCTTTGGACATCTTCGCCCGTTCGTCCTGAGCGTAGCGAGGCAGCCGAGCGGAGTCGAAGGGCGCCTGCTGTGACCATGGAAACCATAGGTTAGTCACCGCGTTGTCATGAACATCCACGAATATCAGGCGAAACAGTGGCTCGCGCGGTTCGGCGTGCCCGTACCCGGCGGACGGGTGGCGGATACGGCCGACGAGGCGCGGGCGGCGGCGGAGGAGATCGGGTTTCCGTGCGTGGTGAAGGCGCAGATCCACGCCGGGGGCCGGGGCAAGGCCGGCGGCGTCAAGGTCGTCCATACCGCCGAGGAGGCGGGCAAGTTTGCCGAGGGTTTGCTGGGAAAGGCTCTGGTCACGCACCAGACCGGTCCGGAGGGGCGAATCGTCCGGCGCGTGTGGGTGGAAGAGGCGTCGCGGATCGCCAGGGAGCTCTACTGCAGCATCGTCCTGGACGCGGCGGCCGGGCAACCCGCCATCATCGCCTGCGGACAGGGAGGCATGGAGATCGAGGATGTCGCCAAGGAGACACCGGACGAGATCATCGTCGAGCTGGTGGATCCACTGGTGGGGGTAGCGCCGTTCCAGGTTCGCCGCGTGGCAAGGCGGCTGGGGCTGTCCGGCAAGGAGGTCGGAGCCTTCGGAGCCCTGCTCAAGGATCTGTACCGCGCTTTCCTGGACTCCGACTGCATGCAACTGGAAATCAATCCGCTGGCCCAGCTCGACGACGGCCGTTTCCTCGTCCTGGACGCCAAGATGAACTTCGACGGCAACGCGCTCTTTCGCCACCCCCAGATCGTCGAGTTGCGCGACATCACCGAGGAGGACCCCAAGGAGGTCAGGGCCTCGGATCTGGGCATTTCCTACGTGGCCCTGGACGGCAACATCGGCTGCATGGTCAACGGCGCGGGCCTGGCCATGGGCACCATGGACATCATTCAACAGTACGGCGGCACGCCGGCGAACTTCCTCGACGTGGGCGGCGGCGCCAGCAAGGAGATGGTGGGACAGGCCTTCCGTCTGCTGCTCTCGGACGACAAGGTGCGCGGTGTGCTGGTGAATATCTTCGGCGGCATCATGCGTTGCGACGTCATCGCCGAGGGCATCATCGACGCCGCCAAGGAGATCGGCGTCACCGTGCCGCTGGTGGTGCGGCTGCAGGGCACCAACGTGGAGCAGGGGAGAGAGCTGCTGTCGAAGTCGGGCCTGAAGATCACCACCGCCGACACCATCGCGGACGCGGCGCAGAAGATCGTCCAGGCCGTGCAGGCGGAAGAGGGGCGGGCATGAGTATCCTCGTGAATTCCGAGACTCGCGTCCTGACCCAGGGAATCACCGGCGCCACCGGCCAGTTCCACACCAAGGCGTGCAAGGAATATGGCACCCGCATGGTGGCCGGCGTCACCCCCGGGAAGGGCGGCACCTCCTTCGAGGACATCCCGGTGTTCGACAGCGTGGAGAAGCGGTGCGGGAGACCGCGGCCAACGCCAGCGTCATCTACGTGCCGCCGGCCTTTGCCGCCGACGCCATCATGGAATCGGCGGACGCGGGCGTGCCTCTGGTCATCTGCTATCACCGAGGGCGTGCCGGTCCAGGACATGATGCGGGTGAAGCGCTACCTGAAGGAGCGCGGCACCGTGCTGGTGGGACCCAACTGTCCGGGCGTCATCACCCCCGGCGAGTGCAAGATCGGGATCATGCCCGGGCACATCCACAAGAGGGGCACCATTGGCGTGATTTCCCGCAGCGGCACGCTGACCTATGAAGCCGTGGACCAGCTCACCCGCCTGGGCATGGGACAGTCCACCTGCGTCGGCATCGGCGGCGATCCCATCCGCGGGCTCAACTTCGTAGACGTGCTCGACAGGTTCAATGACGACGACGAGACCGAGGCGGTGGTGCTTATCGGGGAGATCGGCGGCAGCGCCGAGCAGGACGCCGCGGACTGGATCCGGGCGCATATGAAAAAGCCCGTGGTGGGCTTCATCGTGGGCCAGACCGCACCTCCGGGAAAGCGCATGGGTCATGCCGGCGCCATCATATCCGGAGGCAAGGGGACCGCGGCGGAAAAGGTCGAGGCGCTGCGCGGCGCGGGGGTGCACATGGCGCCGTCTCCCGCGGACATCGGACAAACCATGAAAGAGGCATTGGGATAGCATGGAGAGAACACTGTCGATCATCAAGCCGGAAGCGGTGGACGGGGCCTGATCGGGGACATTCTGAGCCGCTTCGAGCACGCGGGCCTCAAGGTAGTGGCCGCGAAGCTGACCCGGTTGGACAAGCAGCGGGCGGAGTCTTTCTACGAAGTGCACCGGGAGCGGCCGTTCTTCAACAGCCTGACCGACTACATCTCCACGGGCCCGATATTCGTGTCGGTCCTGGAAGGTGACGGAGCCATCGCCAAGAACCGGGAGATCATGGGCGCCACCGACCCCGCCAAGGCGGCTCCAGGGAACGATCCGGAAGGATTGGGGCACCAACGTGGAGGAGAACGCCGCGCACGGGTCCGACGCCCCCGAGACCGCGGCCGCGGAGATCGCATTCTTCTTCACCGCCGGCGAGATCCAGTCGTCCGGGTCGTAGGCCGCCGCCGATCAATCGGTATGGCGTCCTTCGACTCGCTTGTCCTGAGCTTGTCGAAGGGCTCAGGACGAACGTTGCCGGGATCAACTTGCCGTTCGTCCTGAGCCCTTCGACAGGCTCAGGACAGGCGTAGCGAAGCGAAGTCGAAGGACCCAGGCTGGACAATGGAAGACATTCACCCCAGCGACGCCCGCCGGCCCGTCGAAGGCCTGAGCCAACCCGAGTTGAGCGCGTGGCTGGACTCCCGCGGGCTCCCCGCCTACCGGGCCGATCAGATAAGACGATGGCTTTTCCGGAAGCGTGTGACTTCGTTCGAAGCCATGACCGACCTTTCCGGGGCGTTGCGGCAGGCCCTGGCCCGTGAATTTGTCGTCGGCAGCCTGGCCGTGCAGCAGAGTCTTGGATCCCGGGACGGCAGCGTCAAGTATCTTTTCCGTCTGCAGGATGGCGCCGTCGTGGAGACGGTCTACATACCGGAGCCGGACCGGGCGACGCTGTGCGTGTCGACGCAGGTGGGGTGCGGGCTGGGCTGCGTCTTTGCGCCACCGCGCGAATGGGGACTCGAAGCGCAACCTCACCCAGGCGGAGATCGTGGACCAGGTCCTGGAGGTGCAGCGCCGCTGCCCGGAGGATACGCGAATCTCGAATCTGGTCTTCATGGGCATGGGCGAACCGTTGGCCAACTACGACGCCACCCGCGGGGCGCTGGAGGCCATCACCGACGCCCGCAGCGGCATGGGCATTTCGCCTCGCAAGATCACCGTTTCTACCGTGGGCCTGTTGCCGCAGATGCGCCGGCTCATGGAGGAGACCCGGGTCAATCTGGCCATTTCGCTGCATTCGGTGCGGGACGAGGTGCGGTCCGAGCTGATGCCGGTCAACCGGAAGTACTCGGTCGATCAGTTGCTCGAATGCTGCCGCTCCCTGCCGGTGCCGCGGCGGAAGCGCATCACCTTCGAGTACCTGCTGATCAGCGGCTTGAACGATCTCGCCGCGGATGCGGCGGAGCTCGCGGGGAAGCTTCACGGCATCCGTTGCAAGGTGAACCTGATTCCCTTCAACCCCCACGAGGGAAGCGGTTACCGCCGGCCGACGGATCATGTCATCGAGCGGTTCGGGGAGACCCTGCGCGCCCGGGGCATTCAGGCCAACGTGAGGCGCCCCGGGGCGACGACATTCAGGCGGCCTGCGGGCAGTTGTACCATGCGGTGGACTCAATGCGGGACCCCGTCGCCGGCAGCCTTCCGACCCCCTCTCCCTCCGGGAGAGGGTTGGGGTGAGGGTGCCCCGGTTCCGGCAGCCCGCTATGAATGGCAAGGAATGGAATGGGAGGGGAAGGGGCATTTGTGGGGCCCTCACCCGGCCTTCGGCCACCCTCTCCCAGAGGGAGAGGGGTCTTCAAGGCCGCGGCGGCAATACCGGATCCCTGTGACGGAGTAAGGACGGAAGAAGATGGAACAGAAGACCATGCTGGGTGTCATCGGCGGCACCGGCCTTTACGAGATGGAGGGATTGCGCGGTGCGCGAGGTGGAGGTGGACACCCCTTTCGGCGAGACCCTCCGGTCCTTTCGTGCTGGGATCCCTCGGGGGCGTGGAGCTGGCTTTTCTGCCGCGCCACGGGAAGGGGCATCGCCTCCTGCCCAGCGAGGTCAACAACCGTGCCAACATCTTCGGCATGAAGAAGCTGGGGGTCGGCCGGATCCTGTCAGTGAGCGCGGTGGGCAGTCTCAAGGAGGAGATCGAGCCGGGCCATGTGGTGCTGCCGGACCAGTTCATCGACCGCACCTACAGGCGTCCCAGCACGTTCTTCGGTGACGGAATCGTGGCCCACGTACAGTTCGCGGACCCGTTGTGCAACGACCTGAGAGCGGTGGTGGCGGAGGCGGCGGCCAAGGAGGACATCCAGGTGCACGGCCGCGGCACCTACGTCTGCATGGAGGGGCCGCAGTTCTCCACCCGCGCGGAGTCCGCGCTTCACCGGAGTTGGGGCGCCGACATCATCGGCATGACCAACCTGCAGGAAGCCAAGCTGGCCCGGGAGGCGGAGATCTGCTTCGCCACCATCGCCATGGCCACCGATTACGACTGCTGGAACGAAGCCGCGGGCGACGTGGAGATCGAGGAAATCATCGCGGTGCTGCAGAAGAACGCGGACGTGGCCAAGAGAATCATCCGGGGCACTCTGGAGCGCCTGTCACCGGAGCGCACGTGCCCCTGCGCTACGGCCCTGAGCGTGGCCATCGTCACGGACCGCTCGTTGATTCCCGAGGCTGCCGGAAGAGCTGGCGCCGCTGATAGACAAGTATCTCTGAATATCCAACTCGGACTATTCGAAAGGGGCGTCCTTCGACTTCGCTTCGCTACGCCTGTCCTGAGCTTGTCGAAGGGCTCAGGACGAACGGTTGTGGACACTTTATCCCCGTTCGTCCTGAGCGTAGCGAGTCCTGAGCTTGTCGAAGGGCGAGCGAAGTCGAAGGGCGCAAGCTCGCAGTTACTTGGAAGCGAAGTCGAAGGGCGCCATTCCCGGTTCCGCCTGTAGCGTGAGCCGGGACTCGGGAGGAGTGTGAACATGAGCGTTCTGGTGGTGGGCTCCATGGCCTTCGATTCCATCGAGACCCCGCACGGCCGGGTCGATCGGGTCCTGGGCGGATCGGCGGCGTACTTCGCGCTGGCCGCCGCGGTCTTCGCGCCGGTGCGGATCGTCGGCGTGGTGGGCGAGGATTTTCCCGAGGAGCACCTGACGGCGCTGTCGCGGAGCGGGGTGGACCTGGAGGGATTGCAGCGGACCGCGGGCAAGACCTTCTTCTGGCACGGGCGGTATCACGAAGACCTGAACGTGCGTGATACCCTGGAGGTTCAGCTCAACGTGCTGGAGGACTTCGACCCGCGGCTGCCCGCCGGCTACGAGGACACGGAGTATGTCTTTCTCGGCAACATGCACCCGGCGGCGCAGTTGGAGGTGCTGTCGCAGTTGAAGCAGCCGCGGCTGGTGGCCTGCGACACCATGGATCACTGGATCCAGGAGACTCCCGGGGAGTTGAGAAAGGTCCTGGGGCGGGTCGAGACCGTGGTCATCAACGACTCGGAAGCGCGCATGCTGAGCGGGCACGACAACGTCGTCCGGGCCGCCCGCGCCATCCTGAAGATGGGCCCCCGGATGGTGCTCATCAAGCGCGGCGAGTACGGCGTGTTCCAGTTCTCGGATGCCTCGTCCTTCGTGCTGCCGGCCTATCCCCTGGAAGAGGTGCTGGACCCCACCGGCGCCGGCGACTCCTTTGCCGGGGCTTTCATGGGTTACCTGGCCGCCGACGGTGGTGCCGGCGAACACGGGCTCCGGCGCGCCATCGTGCACGGCAACGTCACCGCGTCGTTCACGGTGGAGGATTTCGGCCCCCGGCGGCTGATGACGCTGGAACGGGGAGAGATCGATGAGCGCTATCGCCGATTCGTCGAGTTGACCCGCTTCCATGATTGAGTTTTCGCGCGATGCGGGGACGGGCGGGTTAAAACCGCCCCTACGTTTTCTGCGTTGCGGGCACGGGCGGGTTTGAAACCCGCCCCTACATTCTCTGCGATGCGGGCAGGGGCGGGTTTACCCCCCCTTACGACAGCCGTACGCACGCGGTAGTTTTGGAATTGGAATCGGGCTAATCGCATGAACATCGCAATGCTCGGTACGGGTTACGTGGGGCTGGTGGCGGGGAGCTGCTTCGCCGAGACCGGCAACGACGTGGTCTGTGTCGACATCGACGAGGCGAAGATCGAGCAGCTCCGGCAGGGTCGCGTTCCCTTTTACGAGTTGGGGCTCGAGGAGCTGATTCAACGCAACACCCGGGAAGGCCGGCTGGCCTTTTCCACGGATCTGGCCGAGGCCGTACGGCGTCGCGGAGGCCATCTTCATCGCGGTGGGTACGCCCCAGGTGTCGGCGGGCGGGGCCGACCTGAGCCAGGTGTTCGCGGTGGCGGAGGACATCGCACGGGCGATGAACGGCGGCAAGATCGTGGTGACCAAGAGCACGGTGCCCGTGGGCACGGCGGCGCGGGTCAAGGAGATCATCGAAGCCGGGACCGACCATCCGGTGGCGGTGGTGTCGAATCCCGAGTTTCTGAAGGAGGGGACGGCGGAGAGGATTTCATGAAGCCGGACCGGGTGGTGCTGGGCGGTGAGGATGCCGGCTCGCTGGAACGCCTCAAGAATCTGTACGAGCCGCTCGTCCACAGGGGGAACCCCATCATCGTCACGGACTCCCGCAGCGCCGAGATGAGCAAGTACGCCTCCAACGCGATCCTGGCCACCAAGATCTCGTTCATCAACGAGACCGCGCGGCTGTGTGAGAAGGAAGGGGCGGACATCGAGCAGGTCCGGCGCATCATGGGTCTCGACCACCGCATCGGGCCTCACTTCATCTTTCCCGGCATCGGCTTCGGCGGGTCGTGCCTGCCCAAGGACATTCGCGCGATGATCGCCATGGGGGGAGACGAGTTGGAGATGCCCTTGCTTGAGGCCGTGGATCGGGTCAACGAAACCCAGAAGGGCCTGCTGCTGGAGAGAGTCAAGACGCATTTCGGCGAGGCGTTGGCGGGGAGCACGCTGGCGGTTTGGGGCCTGTCGTTCAAGGCCCGCACTGACGACATGCGGGAAGCTCCGGCGATCCGGGTCATCGACGGGTTGCTGCGGGCCGGAGCGCGGGTGCGGGCATTCGATCCCGAGGCTACGAAACAGGCGCGGCAGCGCTATGGAGACAGGATTGAATACGGCGTCAACAACTATGAGGTTGCCGCGGGTGCTGACGCGGTGCTGATCCTGACGGAATGGAACGAGTTTCGCAGTCCGGATTTCGCACGCCTGAAGGAGCTGCTGCATCAGCCGGTGGTTTTCGACGGCCGCAACCTCTATGACCCCGCGGTGATGCGGCAACACGGTTTCATCTATTATTCCATAGGACGTGGTCGTGGATAGCAGCCGCATCCGAAACTTCTGTATCATCGCCCACATCGATCACGGCAAGTCCACGCTGGCGGATCGATTGATGGAGTACACCGGCGCCCTCAGCGAGCGCGAGAAGACCGACCAGTTCCTGGACAAGATGGACCTGGAGCGGGAGCGCGGCATCACCATCAAAGCCAGTCCGGTGCGGCTCAAGTACCGCTCCGCCGCCGGCGACGACTATATCCTGAACCTGATCGATACCCCGGGCCACGTGGATTTCACCTATGAGGTCTCCCGGAGTCTGGCCGCCTGCGAGGGGGCGATCCTGGTGGTGGATGCCGCCCAGGGAGTGGAGGCGCAGACCGTGGCCAACGTCTATCTGGCGCTGGACAACGACCTTCAGGTGCTTCCGGTCATCAACAAGATCGATCTGCCGAGCGCCGATCCCGAGAGGGTCAGGCAGGAGCTCGAAGACGTCATCGGCCTGGACGGCTCCCAGGCCATCCTGGCCAGCGCCAAGCACGGCATCGGCACCGAGGCCGTGCTGGAAGGCATCGTAGCCAACTTTCCGCCCCCCGGAGGTGAGCGGGAGAAGCCGCTACGCGGGCTGATCTTCGATAGTTGGTTCGATCCCTATCACGGCGCGGTGATCCTGCTGCGCATCTTCGAAGGGAGCGTCCGCACCGGCGATTCCATCCGCCTGATGTCCACCGGCGGCGTGTTCGAGGTCAGCCGGCTGGGTATCTTCGCCCCGGGTCCGGTGGAGGTGGAGAGCCTCGGTCCGGGCGAGGTGGGCTTTCTCATGGCCGCCATCAAGGACCTCCACGAGGCCCGCATGGGCGACACGGTGACCCTTCACAGGCGGCCCACCCAAGAACCACTGACGGGTTTTCCGCCCTTGAAGCCCATGGTGTTCAGCGGCCTCTACCCGGCCGACTCGGGTCAGTACCAGGCACTGAGGACCGCGTTGGAGAAGCTCAGCCTGAACGATTCGTCCTTCACCTTCGAGGCGGAGGCGTCCCAGGCCCTGGGCTTCGCTTTCGCTGCGGGTTTCTGGGTCTGCTGCACATGGACATTGTGCGCGAGCGGGTGGAGCGGGAGTTCGCCTGGCGCTCATCACCACGGCGCCCACCGTGGTCTATCAGGTCACCACCCACGCGGGGGCGGTGCTGGCCATCGACAGTCCGGTGGCTTTCCCCGACGAGGCCGACATCGAGATGATCGAGGAACCGTTCATCCTGGCCACATCCATGTTCCCCGGGACTATCTCGGGGGCGTGCTCAAGCTGTGCGAGGAAAAGCGGGGGATTCAGCAGGAGGTGCGCTACTCGGGCCTTAACCGGGCCATGGTCACGTACGAGCTTCCGCTGAACGAGATCATGTACGACTTCTACGACCGGCTCAAGTCCCTGAGCCGCGGTTACGCTTCCATGGACTACGAGATGGTGGGCATGCGGCCCGCGAAGCTGGCCAAGCTGGACGTCCGCATCAACGGCGACATGGTGGATGCCATGTCGCTGATCGTGCACCGTGACAAGGCGTACGTGCGGGGGCGGGACATGGTGCAACGCATGCGCGAGCTGATCCCGCGGCAGCTCTTCGAAGTGGTGATCCAGGCGGCCATCGGCGGCCGCATCATCGCCCGGGAGTCGGTGAAGGCGCTCCGCAAGAACGTCACCGCCAAGTGCTACGGCGGTGACATCACGCGCAAGCGCAAGCTCCTGGAAAAGCAGAAGGAGGGCAAGAAGCGCATGAAGTCGGTTGGGCGGGTGGAGATACCTCAGGAAGCGTTCCTGGCAGTGCTGAAGGTCTAGTGTCCTGTCCGGTTAATTCGCATGACAATCTGCTGGTCCTTTTCGCCGTTGGCTGCGTTGCTCCTCCTCGCGTGGTATTGGCCACACGGGCGGGTTTGAAACCCGCCCCTACAAGTCGTCGCGCCTTGCCGACGCCAAAAATTCCTGCGCAGTTTCATAAACCTATTTGTGAGGCAGGACACTAATGTTCAAAGTTCGCGGGTGAAGTGTTACGTTTGATGCTGTCTAAAAGGACCCCTTACGTGCCCAGATTTCCAAAGCCCAGAAAATCCGTCTTTCGGGAGTATACGGAAGCCATCATCATCGCCCTGGTGGCCGCGCTGTTCCTGCGCGCCTTCGTGGTGCAGGCTTTCAAGATCCCTTCGGGCTCGATGATTCCCACCCTGGCCATCGGCGATCACATCCCTGGTCAACAAACTGTCCTACGGCGTGCGGCTTCCCGACATCAACTGGCTGCCCTTCGCCGGGTGCATCGATGTGGCGAGAGGCTCCCTTGCCATGGAATGGGACATCCCGGAGCGCGGCGACGTGGTCGTGTTCGTCTACCCCAAGGACCGCTGCAAGGATTTCATCAAGCGGGTGGTGGGGGTGCCGGGCGACGAGGTGGTGATCCGGGACAAGAAGGTCTTCATCAACGGGGAGCCCGTGGAGGATGCCCACGCCCATTTCGAAGAACAGGGGGTTTTCCTGGGCGCCGGCCATGTCCGCGACAATTTCGGCCCGGTGAAGGTGCCCGGGGACCACGTGTTCGTCATGGGGGACAACCGGGATCGCAGCTTCGACAGCCGCTTCTGGGGCTTCGTGCCCATCAAGGACGTCCGCGGCCGCGCCTTCGTCAAGTACTGGTCCTGGGACTCGGAAAACAGCCGGCTGCGCTGGTGGCGCATCGGCGGTCTCATCTACTGACTCCGAGGTCCCGATTCATCTCATGAAAGCCACGCTCACCCTGGCGGACGGGACCTCGTTTGCCGGCCGCTCCTTCGGCAGTGAAGGAGAGGCGGCGGGGGAGGTCGTCTTCAACACCAGCATGACGGGATACCAGGAGATCCTCACCGATCCTTCCTACGAGGGTCAGCTCGTCACCATGACCTATCCGGAGATCGGCAACGTCGGCGTCAACCCGAGGACGACGAATCGCACCGGCCCTACGTCAGGGGTTTCATCGTCAAGGAATACTGCCCCGTGCCCAGCAGTTGGCGCGCCACTCAGGCGCTGCACGCCTACATGCAGGAGCACGGCATCGTGGGCATCGAAGGGGTGGACACGCGCTCCCTGGTCATCCACATACGCGAGCGGGGCGCCCAGGAAGGCGTCATCTCCACGGTGAGCCGTGATTCCGCGGAGCTGGCCGCCAAAGCACAACATATCGAGGGACTTGTCGGCAGGGATCTCGTGAAGAACGTGACCTGCCAGGAGCCCTACCGGTGGGACCAGGGCGGCTGGCGGATGGGAGGAGGTTTCGGTCCGGGCCGGGAGCCGGAATTTCACGTGGTGGCATATGATTACGGCATCAAGTTCAACATCCTGCGAGGTCTCGTGGATGCCGGCTGTAGCGTAACGGTGGTGCCCGCGTGGACGCCCGCGGACGACGTCCTCGCGCTGGAACCGGACGGCATCTTCCTGTCCAACGGTCCCGGGGACCCCGCGGCCGTCCCGTACGCCGCGGACATCGTGCGGCAGCTCGTGGGCCGGCGCCCCATCTTCGGCATCTGCCTGGGACACCAGATCCTGGGGCTGGCCATGGGCGGGCGCACCTTCAAGCTCAAGTTCGGGCATCACGGCGGCAATCAGCCGGTCATGGACCTCACCACCGAAAAGGTGGAGATCACCACCCAGAACCACGGCTTCGCGGTGGACGCCGATTCCCTCAAAGGCGCGGTGGAGGTGACCCACGTGAACCTCAATGACCGGACCGTGGAGGGGCTCCGGCACCGCGAGCACCCGATCTTCTCGGTCCAGTATCATCCCGAGGCGTCGCCGGACCCCACGACGCGGCGTACCTCTTTTCCCGTTTTCGCGAGTTGATGGCCGGCAGTAGCGGCCTGTAACAGACATATGCATACCAATCTGCTAGTCCTTTTTGCTGTCGGCTGCGTTGCTCCTCCTCACGTGGTGCCCGCCACTGCTCGTCGTCACGCCTTGCCGACAACAAAAAGTCCTGCGCATCTTGGTATGCATATGTCTATTACAGGCCGCTAGGAGTTGAGATGCCGAGACGCACCGACATCGACTCCATCCTGCTCATCGGCTCCGGCCCCATCGTTATCGGACAGGCGTGCGAGTTCGACTACTCCGGGACCCAGGCCCTGAAGGCCCTCAAGGAGGAGGGGTTCCGGGTCATCCTGGTCAACTCCAACCCCGCCACCATCATGACCGACCCGGATTTCGCGGATCGGACCTACGTCGAGCCCCTGGACGCGGGCATCATCACCAAGATCATCGAGGCGGAGCGCCCCGACGCGCTGCTGCCCACCTTGGGCGGCCAGACCGCGCTCAACCTCGCCATCGAGCTGGCGGAGACCGGCGTGCTGGAGCGCTTCGGCGTGGAGATGATCGGCGCCCGGCTCGAGGCCATCAGAGGCGAGGCCGCGGTACCGTCTTCAAGGAGGCATGGGTCTCGGTGGGGCTGGCTCTCGCCTCGGAGCGGGTACCGCATCACGCGCTGAGGAGGCCATGGCGGTGCGGCGGGAGCTGGCGAGCCTGCCGCTGATCATCCGGCCGTCCCGGACCTTGGGGGGCAGCGGCGCCAACATCGCCTACACCGAGGACGAGTTCGTGGAGATGGCGCAGTGGGGCCTGCGGTTATCCCCGGTGCACGAGATCCTGGTGGAGGAGTCGATACTGGGCTGGAAGGAGTTCGAGCTGGAGGTGATGCGCGACCACAAGGACAACGTGGTCATCGTGTGCCCCATCGAGAACTTCGACCCCATGGGGGTCCACACCGGGGACTCCATCACCGTGGCGCCGGCCCAGACCCTGACGGACAAGGAATACCAGGTGATGCGTGACGCCGCGTTGCGCATCATCCGGGAGATCGGCGTGGATACCGGGGGCTCCAACATCCAGTTCGCGGTGCATCCGGACAACGGCCGCCTGGTGGTCATCGAGATGAACCCGCGGGTGTCCCGCAGCTCGGCCCTGGCCAGCAAGGCCACCGGATTTCCCATCGCCAAGATCGCCGCCAAGCTGGCGGTGGGTTACACCTTGGACGAGATTCCCAACGACGTGACCCGGGAGACCCCGGCCTGCTTCGAGCCCACCATCGACTACGTGGTGGTGAAGGTGCCGCGGTTCACCCTTCGAGAAATTTCCCCAGACCCCGGACGTGCTGACCACTCAGATGAAGTCGGTGGGGGAGGCCATGTCCATCGGCCGCACCTTCAAGGAGGCGCTGCAGAAGGCCATGCGCTCGCTGGAGACCAACAGCTACGGTTTCGAGGAGCCGGCACTGGTGGAGGCGGCCGGCGACGACGAACGGGAGGCGTTGCTGGAGGAGCGGTTGAAGTGGCCGCGTTCGGACCGGCTCTGGACCTTGGGAGCCGCTTTCCGAGCGGGCTTCACGGTGTCCCGATTGTACGAGCTGACCGGTATTGATCCGTGGTTTCTCAACCATATACAGGCCATTATAAAGAAAGAGGATGAGATCCAGAGCCGTCTGAGCGGGGCCGGCGACGCCGACCGGGAGTTCTGGGTGGAGATCAAGAACATGGGCTTCTCCGACCGGCGGCTGGCGGAGTTATCGGACCGCTCGGAGGAAGACATCCGGGCGCTGCGCACGCGGGAGGGAGTGCTGGCCGGCTTCCGCACCGTGGATACCTGCGGCGCCGAGTTCGAGGCATTTACGCCCTACTACTACTCCACCTACGAAGGGGCCCAGGAGTCCCGGCGTAGCGACCGCAAGAAGATCATGATCCTCGGCGGCGGCCCCAACCGCATCGGCCAGGGCATCGAGTTCGACTATTGCTGCGTGCACGCGGCGTTCGCCCTGAAGGAGGACGGCTTCGAGACCCTGATGGTCAACTGCAATCCGGGAGACCGTGAGCACCGACTACGACACCTCGGACAAGCTCTACTTCGAACCGCTGACGCTGGAAGACGTGCTCAACATCACCGCGCAGGAGCGCCCCGACGGGGGTCATCGTCCAGTTCGGCGGGCAGACGCCGCTGAAGCTCGCGCTGGCGCTGGAACGGGCCGGCGTCCCCATCATCGGCACGCCGCCGGACAGCATCGACCTGGCCGAGGACCGGGAACGCTTCAAGGAGTTGCTGGAACGGCTGGAGCTGAGGCAGCCCACGAACGGCACCGCCCGGTCCGCGGACGAAGCCCTGCGAGTGGCCGAGAGCATCGGCTATCCGGTGCTGGTGCGGCCCTCCTACGTGCTCGGCGGCCGAGCCATGGAGATCGTTTACGAGGAGGAGAAGCTCAAGGACTATCTGGTGACGGCTTTCCAGAACTCCGTGGAGCACCCGATCCTCATTGACAAGTTCCTGGACGATGCCACCGAGGTGGACGTGGACGCCATCGCCGACGGCGAGCGGGTGGTCATCGGCGGCATCATGGAACACATCGAGATGGCAGGGGTCCACTCGGGCGACAGCGCCTGCTCGATCCCCCCGAGAACCTTGTCTCCGGAGGTGCAGAACGAGATCCGCCGGCAGGCCGTGGCCCTGGCCGATGCCCTCAAGGTCCGCGGGCTGATGAACGTCCAGTTCGCGGTCAAGGGGGAAGAGGTCTACATCCTCGAGGTGAACCCGCGGGCGTCCGGACCGTGCCCTTCGTCAGCAAGGCCATCGGCGTATCCCTTGCAAAACTGGCGGCCCGGGTGATGGTGGGGCGAAAGCTCGACGAGATGGGCTTCACCGAGGAGATCGTGCCGACGCACGTCTCTGTCAAGGAGTCGGTGCTGCCGTTCAACAAGTTCGCCGGGGTGGACACGCTGCTGGGTCCCGAGATGAAGTCAACCGGCGAGGTCATGGGCATCGACCACTCCTTCAGCAAGGCCTACGCCAAGGCCCAGATGGCCGGCGGCATGCGCTTGCCCGACTCCGGCACGGCATTCTTCAGCCTGCCCGACGAGCATCGCGAGGGCGCCGCAAGGATCGCCCGGTCGATGGCGGCGCTGGGCTTCAAGATCGTGGCCACCGGCGGCACTGCGGCTTTTTTCCAGGACCAGGCCATCCCGGTGGAAATCGTGCACGACGTCGAGGAGACGCTGGGGCAGAAGGCCGTCGCCATGGTCATCAACACCCATGCCAACGAGAGCTACCGCAAAGACGGTTACCTGGTGCGCCGCAACGCCCTGGACCGGCAGATTCCGTACTTCACCACCCTGGCCGGAGCCGAAGCCGCGCTGGAGGCCATCGAGTTCCTCAAAGGGGGCGAGCTGACGGTGCAGCCGCTCCAGGAGTACCACCGCCGGGCTCGGCCGGCGTAAGCCCACCGGCACTCCGTCCGGGGGAGAGTAGAGGCGGTACAACCCGGCCACATCGTTTCCGCAACACCCGGGAACACGGCGACATCCGAGAACGATCGGCACCCCGCCCGGAGGAGCACAGACGAAACACGACATGATCTACGGATTACGGCGGATCGGAACGATGTAGGGGCGGGTTTCAAACCCGCCCGTGCCACGGCCCGGCACCCCGCCCCAACGGTAGCCCCCCATTGTGGCCGATTCCTACCACGTCACCCCCACCGAACCCGCTGATTGTTACGAAGCCCTTGGGCTCCGTCTGGACGTCCTCAAAGGCATCGGCCCGGTACGGGCGACCCAGCTTGCCGGCCGCGGCCTCGCCACGATAGAGGACTGCTGTACCACCTGCCTCTGCGTTACGAGGACCGCCGCGACGTGACCGCCATAGCCGCGGCCGATGCCGGCGAGAGCGGCACCTTCGTAGGCCGCCTGACGAGCCTCAGGGTCGGCCGGATTCGCGGCGGCCGCCGCATTCTCACGGGCACTTTGACCGATGACACCGGCAGCCTGGAGCTGATCTGGTTCAACCCCGCCCGATATGTTTCCGATGCGTTGCAGATCGGGCAGCACCTCTCCATCTACGGGAAAGTGGCGCCCGAACGGGTTCCCGCTCAGCGTGCCCCACCCGGAATTCGAAGTCCTCGATGCCGGGACAGAACGGCAGCCGGAGGTACGACCCGTATACGGTAAGCCCGGCGATGTATCCCAAGCCCACCTGCGCGGCTGGGTGGCCCAGGCCCTGGAACGGTTCGGCGGGTTCCTGCCCAGCTTCCTTCCCTCGGAGGTAGCGGAACGGCAGGGGCTCATGGACCTGCAACAGGCCCTGGAAGTGATCCACCGGCCGGACAGCACGATGGAACCCGACGCCCTCGAGGAAGCAAGGGCCCCGGCCCGCCGCTCCCTCGCGTTCGACGAATTTTTCTACTTCCAACTGGCCCTGGCTTTGCGGCAGCAGCAGCGCCTGCAGACCCCCGGTTTCCGCTCGCCGGCACGGGCGGACTCGCTCACCGGCCGAATGCGGCAGTCGCTGCCCTACCGCCTCACCGGCGGGCAGGAGCGGGTGTTGCAGGAGATCTACCGGGACATGGAGTCGCCCAACCCCATGCGGCGCCTGCTGCAAGGCGACGTGGGTTCCGGCAAGACCGTCATTTGCGCGTGGCTCAGCGCCTTCGCATGGAGAACGGCCGCCAGGCGCTGTTGCTGCTGGCACCGAGTTGCTCGCGGAGCAGCACTACGAAAGACTCGCAACTACGCGGAGAGTCTGGGCGTGCGCGCGGCGCTGCTCTCGGGGTCTCTTCCCGCGGCTGCCCGGAAGGAGACTCACCGAACGCATCGGCGACGGCGAGGTGGACTTCGTGATCGGCACGCACGCCCTCATTCAGGAGGGCGTCTCGGTGCCGCGCATGGGGTTGGGCAGATCGTGACGAGCAGCATCGTTTCGGTGTCGCCAGCGGACTGCACTTCGCCACGTCTTCCAACGGACGTCACGGCCGGCGCTGCCGCACCTGAGCCGGATCTGCTCTTGATGAGTGCGCCACGCCGATCCCTCGGAGTCTCGCCATGGTGCTGTCCGGCGACCTGGAGGTATCGCTGCTGGATGAGGCGCCGCCGGGCAGGACCCCGGTGGGCACGGTGGTGGTGCAGGAGGCCCAGAGACAGAGGGTCTACGAGCGGGTGCGCGCCGCGGTGACGGGCGGACGCCAGGCCTATCTCGTGTACCCGCTGGTAGAGGAGTCCGAGAAAATGCCCCTGGCGGCCGCCGAGACTATGGCACGGGAGCTGTCCCAGGACCGTGATGAAGGCTCGCCTGGGGCTGGTCCACGGCCAGATGCCCGCCGCCGAGCGGACCAGGTGATGCGGCGTTTCCGGCAGGGGGAGATCCAGGTGCTGGTGGCCACCACCGTCATCGAGGTGGGCATCGACGTGCCCGGGGCCACCCTCATGGTGGTCGAACACGCCGAGCGATTCGGCCTCGCGCAGTTACACCAGCTTCCGGGAAGGGTAGGGCGGGGCCGGGACGAATCCCATTGCGTCCTGATCCACTACGGCTCCCGGGACGACGATTCCCGCCGTCGTCTGGAGGTCCTGGAACGGGCCGCCGATGGCTTCGAGGTCGCCGAGGCCGACCTGAGATTCCGCGGCGCCGGCGAGATCCTCGGCACACGCCAGGCCGGTTACCAGGGATTCCGCGTGGCGCACCTGGTGCGGGACAACGAGGTGCTGCAGGCGGCGCGGCACGAGGCGCGTGACTGGATCGCACACGACCCAGGTCTGCGCAGCGAGATCTCGCAAAGAATCAGAGAGGTGCTGCGACACCGTTGGGGAGAAAGCATGCCACTGGGAGCATGGGCGGATTAAGCACCTTGCGGACTCAGGGGCTAAGGATTCGCGGTCCTTGATCTGGCGGTCTTCAGCTTCGAGTTCTGGCCTTGCCGGGTTTCCACCGCACGAACTGAACCGCTTTTTCACATGCCTGTAATAGAAGCCA